ATATATTAATGGTAGGTCTTATCGCTAATACATAATCTAATACGCTAATGCATAATCCTATCCTAGAGGCAATGCAATTGCAGGTCACCCACGACAAAGTTAGAGCAAGACCTTATAGCACTTCCCCATGATCCAGAAACCGGTTAAATGTCATGGACTCTACATAAGGATCGTATCAGACACTTGGCCGAGAAGCGATAAGAATCGTCAGCTGTTACAAATGTACGACGGCCAAATGTTGTCCGCATGCTACAAGTGTGTATATTTAAATAGGATTAAAAGTCACCATTGTGCATAAACGTAAGCGCATTCGGGTCACAGCCGAAAGGTCCCGGGTTCGTTTGCCAGGCAGGACATGAGTGCTTGGGCAACGTTCCTTTTCACCTGATGTCACTGTTCGCCTTGGAGTAAATAGCTTCACTTGGGAGTTAGGCATCTTCTGAAAATATTATGTTAATAACTAGTAATTAAATAATGACTAGTTAAGGTTTATGAATTTATTTTTGTGAGAGGATGGTCTCTCGGGGTTATCCCACAGCTGACTTGAATGGTTCATTGCAGTGTACAGTGCACCGATCTCGTGCACAAGCCCTATCTCTGTTAACTCTGGATAGTAAACTGCCATGTTGGGTATCTCCAGGATGCCCACTTAACCGGGAATACGTTTTTAATACGGAGGTTGCCGTATGTCCAGGCAGGAAGTAGATACAGGGAAGTTAAGCATCCATGCCACAGGGTCAGAGTATAGCTGGTGTGAAGCGTGAGAGAGAGGGGACGCCAGCAAGGCGACAGATCTGACCTCTGAGGTCACCCTCAACGGGTGCGATGGAGAATAACAACTGTGACGTGGTCGTGACGTGTTCATGACGTCACGTCTGCTACTGATCATGGAATGATCAATATGATTGGTTCCCACTCTTTTGCTGCAATGCCATTTTTCAAATTGTAATCCCTTGTGTTGTGTCCCACGAGGTGCCCAGCAGCCTCTGACAAAGGTATTCACGTGAAGAAGTTCGTAGCTAGTGGACGTGTCCTGTTCTGTCTATCGGCCAATAGACTGAACACCGTCCATTCCTCACCATCAAGTTAAACTCAGCGTCTTTTCGATATACCAACACTCGCCTGGAATCGCGATCGTGACTATATTGTTTAGAAGCCTAGTGACAAATCACCAGAGCGGAACAGACTGGTATCAGGAACCCCTGGTGACAAATTGAGGTCGTTGTGAGTGACCTAGAGTGAACTAAGGAGTGCCACTGCCTAAGTAACCTGTGTGTGACTTTACCACAGTGTACCACTAGGTACCATATAACCTGCAGCCGCCACTGTCCAGAGCGTGTAGCTAGCCTTGAGCCGCCCTGCCTCACTGTACCACGTGGTATCACCACCTTACTCACCGCCAATGCCATCAAGTGTGTGCGTGTGTCTCTTAGACATACATCGCGCCTCCTGCGAGTATCCTCCGTGTCAAGTACGGATTGTGAGAAAGCCTGTCGCCAATTGTCTCACGTCAGAACGACCGAAACCAGCTGTCAGGCCACCTACGAGTTCTTGCATAAATGTACCTGAGTGAGTGAGTGAATAAGAGAGGTGGCCTACCTGTAAGTACAAGATCTTGTTATTGTATTAATGTGTCTGTCTGTGTTGATCTGAGGGATCAACCACAGTTCTCTCCTTCTTATACCTGTCACAGGTTATAGGTGAATCGACGGTGGATGTGTGTTTATCTGTGTGGTATCACGACATTTCACTCGTCTGTGAATGTGAACTTCACATACACCACACATTTAGTTATTGTGTGATATTATTATTGTGCATGTTATTGCCTGTCCCATTGACAGTGCCATTGTGTTTATTGCATATCATCATTACCCGAGTATCCGGTTGGAACTCTTGTGATCCCTTTGCATACCGGCAGTTAGGGTTGCCGTGTTAATGATTGGCTGTCAACTGTGTTCAGTTAGGTGTTTCTCCACGAGTGGATCCGAATCGATTAGCCAGACGTCAAGAGTCTCGCTAATGCAACCATAGCCTTTCTGACGCCAATCTAAAGTAAATCAAGCACCCTTTGTATTAGTGGTTAAGTTAGTAAATAAACTACTGTAAGCTTCATGCGGTGTTTCCGTTGAACCACTTCTGAATACTGCCAACTATTTACTCAAGCCTTCAGCTCCAGATGTCTTCAACACCGAGTTGCCTATAAGTCACAAACTATAAATGTGATGAGGACCTTAGGAGTTCCTTAAAGTGTTTCAAACATTGAGGAGATTCCAACGATCAACGTGGAGCAGGACCAGGTGAGGCTAGTCTGAGAAGAGACCCTCAAGGACTCTAACTCGACCTTGCTCCCAGGCCCTGTACGGTTGCTCTCGTATTTTCTCTGTTGATTCCGACAGCTTCGTGAAGCGTCTGCCACATGTACATTGGCGACGTACGCATTGCAGTCGTGAAAACAAAATAGAAAACCCCACAATTTTGCATATATAGATAATTAACGGATTATTTATTTTCTGTTATTTTTGGTATTGTTTTTCAATTTGCTTTGATTGACCATTCCAACTAGTTTCTTTTTATTCCACAGGTGGGTACAAGAACAGACGTCTGCTGAGTCATGTTAGCAGGCTGAGAGCCGTCGCTTCCCAGAGCTTATGGTAAGCCTAACCCACTATGTGTAGTGACCTGACAAGGGGCCTGACAGCTGATTGGACAGCTCTCGGGATTCATAGTCCTAAGGTTCCGGGTTCGATCCCCAGTGTATGCGGAAACAAATGGGCAGAGTTTCTTTCACACTGATGCCGTTGTTCACCTGGCAGTTAATAGGTAACTGGGAGTTAGACAGCTGCTTCGGCCTGCTTCCTAGGGATGTGTAACAAAATGGAGGCCTAGTCGGGGAACGGGCCGCGAGGACATTAAGCCTAGAAATCATCTCAAAATAACCTCACGATAACCTCCACTGGAATACCACCCACCAATCGTTTAACAACAAGGTACACAATGCTGGAGGAACAGAGGAGTACAATTAAGGATTGGCGCCTAGTCAATCCTCCCCGGCCACGACGCGAAACTTTGTTCTATTGGTGAATAATACCTTGCGAGAATTACCTGTTTATTTTTCATACATATTTACGAATACGTGACTCACCAGCCAGCCACAATTGTCTTAGACCAAGAACTGTGCTGTAAACATTACGTGCAAGAACTGTGCTGTCAACATTATGTGCAAGAACTGTGCTGTCAACATTACGTGCAAGAACTGTGCTGTCAACATTACGTGCAAGAACTGTGCTGTCAACATTATGTGCAAGAACTGTGCGGTCAACATTACGTACAAGAACTGTGCTGTCAACATTACGTGCAGAACTGTGCTGTCAACATTATGTGCAAGAACTGTGCTGTCAACATTACGTACAAGAACTGTGCTGTCAACATTACGTGCAAGAACTCTGCTGTCAACATTATGTGCAAGACCTTTGCTGTCAACATTATGTTCAAGAACTGTGCTGTCAACATTATGTGCAAGAACTGTGCTGTCAACATTATGTGCAAGAACTGTGCTGTCAACATTACGTGCAAGAACTGTGCTGTCAACATTATGTGCAAGAACTGTGCTGTCAACATTATGTGCAAGAACTGTGCATTTTGCTTACTGTTCAATAGTAATCGGAGGTGGTAGATGGCCTTGTTGTAGTTTGTCAAGAGCGGCAGGTTTGAAGCAGTCATATATAGTCTTCGGTAGCGAGAAAGTAATTTATGCCTGCATTGGTCGTGATGTTGTTTGTTGGTGCTATGTTAGTGGTTTTGTAGAATGTAGAGACAGCCAAAGGTGACAATCTGTGCATCACTAGAGTACAGCATCCGCAGACAATGCATCATTCTGGCAGACTGACTGAGCTGCTCTGTGTACTGTACAAGCCAATCACGGCAACATTGCAAGTCGGTGCTCGGTGGGTGAATCTGAAGGCCTGGTACAAAACCTGTCCTGTCCTCGTCTAGGGAGCAAACACCGTACTGGTCCTCAAGGTTGCAACCCACAACAGTGTGGTTGACTAGCACAGTCACGAGGCTCCCCAGTAGTCGGCGTATGTAAAGACGAAGAAGGTTTAAAAGAGGAAAGAGAGGGTACGCCTATATTCATGGAACATTTTCAAAAGGTGATCCGCCAGCATCGCACCTGTCATGAAACAAAGTATGAAAACACAAAATATTGTGAATATTAGTTCCCCTAAAAAATTATATAGAAAACCGTGACGACAACGATGGGAGTGTGGGAAGACGAACATGTTAATTACAGTTATTGACTCATTATTACAATTGTTAATTACACTATACCTAAATTGGTATATAAATTTTAAGAAATTTATAAAATATCACGAAAGTTTTAAAAAATGTTTTGAAAGTATTTAACTTTTACAATTTTGTATAAAACATCTACACATTGTAGATAAATACTTATTTTTTCATAATTATTTAATACTTTTCGTGTTAATATTAGCTACGTTTCAACTAAAATTTTGCGTAAAAAAAAAAATTAGACAGTTATGTTAATAACTAGTTGATCAGCCTACCGGAAGTGGTGGTCACTTACTTTTGCTATTTGAAATAATAGTTGTCAGTAAGTACGGGTCACTTTCTTACTGTGACCCAGTTGTGAGGCGCATATGACCTCTGGGTCATATGTATGCTCGTAGCTCGGGTGACCTTGGGGGTCATATGTATGCACGTAGCTCGGGTGACCTCGGGGGTCATATGTATGTTCGTAGCTCGGGTGACCTCGGGGGTCATATGTAAGTTCGTAGCTCGGGTTACCTCACGGCTTATATGTATGTTAATAGTTCGGGGGTCATATGTATGCACGAACGTAGCTCGGGGGTCATATGTATGCTCGTAGCTCGGGTGACCTCGGGGGTCATATGTATGCTCGTAGCTCGGGTGACCTCGGGGGGTCATATGTATGCTCGTAGCACGGGTGACCTCAGGGGTCATACAATGCTGTCAACATAATGTGCAAGAACTGTCCTGTCAACATTACGGTCAAGAACTATGCTGTCAATATTATGTGCAAGAACTGTGCTGTCAACATTACGGTCAAGAACTATGCTGTCAACATTATGTGCAAGAACTGTGCTGTCATCATTACGTGCAAGATCTGTGCTGTCAACATCACGTCCAAGAACTGTGCTACCAACATTACTTGCACGAACTGTGCTGTCAACATTACGTGCAAGAACTGTGCTGTCAACGTTATGTGCAAGAACTGTGCTGTAAACACTATCTGCAAGAACTGTGCTGTAAACATTATATGCAAGAACTGTGCTGTCAACATTAAGTGCTAGAACTGTGCTGTAAACACTATGTGCAAGAACTGTGCTGTTAACATTATGTGCAAGAACTGTGCTGTCAACATTATGTGCAAGAACTGTACATTTTGTTTACTGCTCAATAGTGAGCGGAGGTGATAGATGGCCTTGTTGTTGTTTGTCAAGAGCGGCAAGTTTGAAGCAGTCATAGACAGTCTTCGGTAGCGAGAAAGTAATTTATGCCTGCATTGGTCGTGATGTTGTTTGTTGGTGCTATGTTAGTGGTTTTGTAGAATGTGGAGACAGTCAAAGGTGACAATCTGTGCCTCACCAGAGTACAGCATCCGCAGACAGTGCAACATTCTGGCAGACTGACTGAGCTGCTCTGTGTACTGTACAAGCCAATCACGGCAACATTGCAAGTCGGTGCTCGGTGAGTGAATCTAAAGGCCAGGTACAAAACCTGTCGTGGCCTCCTCTACGAAGCAAACACCGTACTGGTCCTCGGGGTTGTAACCCACAACAGTGTGGTTGACCCGCACAATCACGAGGCTCCCCAGTGGTCGGCGTGTATAAAGAGGAAGAAGGTTTAGAAGAGGAGAGAGAGGGTGCGCCTACAGTCATGACACATCCACAAAAGGTGATCTGCCAGCATCGCACCTCTCACGAAACAAAGAATTAAACACAAAATATTGTGAATATTAGTCCCCCCTGAAAAGCTGTATAGAAAACAACGACAACAATGACCTAAGGAGAGGGGAGGACGAGCTTGTAAATATAAAAAATTACATTTTAATTACAATTAGTCTTTAACTTATAGCTAATATGATATAAAAATTAACGAGTATTTTTAAAGTATAACTAAAACTTTACAAGATCTTATAAGTTATAAAATATATTTTCAAAATTTGCATAAAAACTAATTTTTATTTAAAAATTAGGATTTTTTTCTTACATATGGAAACTTTTGCTTGTGATGGTTGTTAAGAGATTTAAAAAAAAATGAGTACAAATCAAAGAATTGATTAGTTATTTGAATTACTAGTTAATCAGCTAATAGTAAGTGATGGTCTCTTGCAAGTGTTATTTGAAATAATAGTTGTCGGTAAGTAGGGGTCACTTAACTACTGTGTACCGTCATATGACCCCGGGGGTCATATGTATGCTCGTAGCTCGGGTGACCTCGGGGGTCATATGTATGCTCGTAGCTCGGGTGACCTCGGGGGTCATATGTATGCTCGTAGCTCGGGGGTTATATGTATGTTCGTAGCACGGGTGGCCTATGGGGTCATATATATGCTCATAGCTCAGGTGACCTCGGGGGTCATATATGTTCGTTGCTCGGGTGACCTCGGGGGTCATATGTATGCTCGTAGCTCAGGTGACCTCTGGGGTCATATATATGTTCGTAGCTCTGGTGACCTCTGGGGTCATATGTATGTTCGTAGCTCGGGGGTCACATGTATGCTCGAAGTTCGGGTGACCTCTGGGGTCATATGTATGTTCGTAGCTCTGGTGACCTCGGGGGTTACATGTATGCTCGTAGCTCAGGTGACCTCGGGGGCCATGTATGTTCGTAGCTCGGGTGACCTCGGGGGTCATATGTATGTTCGTAGCTCGGGTGACCTCGTGGGTCATATGTATGTTCGTAGCTCGGGTGACCTCGGGGTTATTTGTATGCTCGAAGCTCGGGTGACCTCGTGGGTCATATGTATGTTCGTAGCTCGGGTGACCTCGTGGGTCATATGTATGTTCGTGGCTCGGGTGACCTCGGGCGTCATATGTATGTTCGTAGATCGGGTGACCTCAAGGGTCATATGTATGCTCGTAGCTCGGGTGACCTCAGGGGTCACATGTATGCTTGTAGCTATGAGGTGACCTCGAGGGGGTCACATGTATGCTCGTAGCTCGGGTGACCTCTGGGGTCATGCTGTGCTATCAACATTATGTGCAAGAACTGTGCTGTCAACATTATGTGCAAGAACTTTACTGTCAACATTACGTACAAGAACTGAACTTTCAACATTATATGCAAGAACTGTACTGTCAACATTACGTGCAAGAACTGTACTGTCAACATTACGTGCAACAAGTTTTCTATCAACATTATGTTGACATTAACAACAAAGAAGAAAACACAAAATATTTGAAATATTAGTTCCCCTAAAAAACTTAATTGAAAACCGTGACCACAGACAACCTTGAGAGTGTGGGAAGACGATATTAATACTATTTATTGATTTATAATTACCATTAGTTATTAAACTATAGCTAAATAGATTTAAAATATTTTTAATTTTTTTAAACCAAAATTAAATTTTTAAAAAGCATTTCAAATTTTTTAATTTCTTTCCCTTTTTTGTATAAAAAATCTAAAATTTGTAGATAAATCATAAATTTTTTGTATATATATTAAACTTTTCGGGCGTAGCTTATGCTATACTCAACCTGTAAAAATTTTGAATATAATAACAAAAATAGGCAGTTCAAATTAATAACTAGTTGATCAGCCATCTGAAAGGTGGTGGTCGCTTACTTCTGTTATCTGAAATAACAGTCCTTTTTTTTTTCTGGGAAAAAATTGCCTGTGCGCCCCAAGGGTTTCAGGTAAATTTAGAAAATCCCCTGTGCGCCCCAAGGGTTTTCAGGCGAATTTGGGGAGTCACAGATTTAGAATTAGGGAATTCTTATAATGAAAAATAATGTCATACGAGTTTGCTAAAGTTCTTATGAGAAAAATAATTTCCGAGACTTAGAAGTTTGTTAAGGCCTTATGGGAGAAATTCAAATAACGTGTGTAGCACTTTAGGGCTTCCAGGAGAACTCTACGGACATATTTTACATGTTTTCAACTTACAAAATCGTCTATGTAAGCCTTAGTTATTCATATAAATTTAGAAAATCACCTGTGTAAGTCATTGTTTTCAGGGTTTCGTACATCACACCCCCCTCCCTCTCCCCCTTACCTCGCAATCTGTCGCCTCACCTTTATTTACTTTACGCCCAGCCAGCCAGTCGGCTCTTATCTTATCTTATCTTCTCCATAATATCTGGACCGTCCCTCCTCTCTCTCTCTCTCTCCTTTCATTCAGTTCAACTATTTTCCAACATCGTATGTTTGCTCCTTTTCATTAAGCAAGTCAGTATGTTTGCTCCTTTTCATTAAGCAAGTCAGTTTTACACAAATAAATCATGTTAGTAAGCAAGTTCTAGCTCACGTTCCCCACCTTAGTCCCCTGTCGTATAATGAATACTATCATTCCAATCCCTCTAAAATTTAAAAATAATCATATTTCAAATGTAGTTCAATACAGTAATTAGTTACCAAGCTCCAGCTCTTGTCCTCCGCCTTAGCTCTCTCTCGTATCTTCGTTAGTATCAGTCCAATTTCCCTGAAATTTCTACCCTCTGTATTTCAGACATAGTTTAGTAAATGCAAACAATTATCAAACTCTAGCTCTTGTCCCCAGCTTAGTTCATTTGTACAAAATCATTAGTAACAGTCCAAATTTCCCTGAAATTTCTACCCTCTGTATTTCAGACATAGTTTAGTAAATGCAAACAGTTATCAAACTCCAGCTCTTGTCCCCAGCTTAGTTCATTTGTACTCATTAGTAACAGTCCAAATTCCCTGAAATTTCTACCCTCTGTATTTCAGACACCGTAAATAAGATCAAAACAGTTACCAAGCTCCAGCTCTTGTCCTCCGCCTTAGCTCTCTCTCGTATCTTCGTTAGTAACAGATCAATTCCCCTGAAATTTCTACCCTCTGTATTTCAGACACCGTAAATAAAATCAAAATAGTTATCGAGCTCCAGCTCTCGTCCCCGCCTTAATTCTCTTTCGTATCTTTGTAAATAACCCATCAATTTCCCTAAAATTAAAAGCAGACATACTTCAAAGTTAGTAAATAAGATCAAGTCAGTTACTGAGCTCCAGCTCTCGTCCCCGCCTTAGTTCTCTTTCATATCTTTGTAAATAAACCATCAATTTCCCTGAAATTTTTACCCTCTGTATTTCAGACATAGTAAATATGAAGTAAACAATTATAAAACTCTAGCTCTTGTCCTCTGTCCAAGCTCACTTTTGTAAAATCATTACTCTCAGTCCAAATCACCCAACTACATTTTCAGACATAGTAAATAAAAACCAGTTCAGTTATCAAGTTTCAACTCTTGTGCCCCAGCTTAGTTCATTTGTACAAGTTCTTTATTTTCCAACTAAATCACCCTGAGATTTAAGATCACCGTATTTCTAACGTAGTAAAATTAATCGGGGCATTAACCAAGCTCCATTTCCTCAGCCTTAGATCATCAGACATAAATATTTTCGATCAAGTCCGTCTCCAGCCTATCTGTTTATCCTAATTACCTTACCCTTCTCATCCCCAACGTATCAATCCCCAACGTATCCAAACCTTCAATAATCGTACTGTATTTGCATATTTTCTCTATATTCACTGTGTTCTTCGTATTCTCATCCGTGTTCACTCCATGTTCTTCAAATGTTCACAGTCCCATTCAGTTCATATTTTCACAAGTATCTCCATTTTTTATGTAATCTTTCTCTTAGTCTCATTATGTTCTCTACAAATTCTAGTCATATTTTCTATGTTTTCATATCACATGTTCTCTTTACAACTTTTATACTCAATATTCATGCTAACTTCCATATTTTGTGTTCTTTGTCAATATTCATGTTCCTCTACAAGTTCATGTTCCTCACAAGATCACTTCGTTTTTTCACCTTCACTTACATGTTTTCTACATTCTTTGTCATATTCTCCATGTTCTTCACAAGTCCATTGTTCATTCTTTGTATTCCCTATTCTCCTTATCATGTTTTCATGTTCTCTGTAAGTTCATATTCCCAGCATGTTCACTGTATTCATCAACTTTTCTTACA